CCCGCCACCTCTCCCGGCTAGTTTTCTGTATTTTTTAGTAGAGACGGGGTTTCACCGTGTTAGCCAGGATGGTCTTGATCTGCTGACCTCATGATCCGCCCGTCTCAGCCTCCCAAAGTGCTGGGATTACAGGCTTGAGCCACCGCGCCCGGCCTCCTCTTTTCTTCTTAAGCTCCATGAAGCAAAAGCAGAAGGACTCTTTTCAGACTGCCCTCTGTAGCCTACGTTGCAGCCTTCAGAATTGTGAAGGGTTGTAATTAATACTCCAAAACAGGCAGCTAGCACTGGGAAAGCCCATGTGGTGACCCCACATTTTTCTGAGGTTCTTCTTTTCCATGGTGTTACTTTATTATCAAGTAAATTGAGAAAGCAGGTCTTGCCCTTAACAGACAAGAATCACACCAGTTTCTTGCAAAGGTAATGGATACATTGGGATTCAGGAGTGACATAGAGGTCCAGCCCCAGAACTTGTGAGGATTTTGTTTGAACACTGAGCAGATGCCTCCTCCCTGTCATCCATCACACTAGATAGGGCTGGCGGTGAATTCTATGCCAGAGTTTCTCCTGCAGTCTGCTAGGGATGGGCCTTCTCGTCCCGCTCTGGCACACATCCCATTCTAGTCTTTCCCGTCAGTCCTCCTTGACACCCCTGACTTAATGATGGTTGCTGTTTTGGAGTAGAATTGATCAGGTTTAAGTCATCCTGCTCAGGTTGGGCATGGTGGCTCATGCCTGCAATCCTAGCACTTTGGGAAGCCAAAGTAGGAAGACTGCTTGAGCCCAGGAGTTCCAAACCATCCTGGGCAACAGAAGGAGACCCTGCCTGTACCAAGAAAAAAAAAAAAAAAAGTTAAAAAAAAACAGTTAGCTGGACCTGGTGGTGCACACTCAGAAGGCTGAGGTGAAAGGATTCCTTTAACCCGGGAGATTGAAGGTGCAGTGAGCCATGATCGTGCCGCTGCACTCCAGCCTGGGGGACAAAGTGGGACCCTATCTCAAAGAAAAAAAAAAAAGTCATCCTTCTCTAACTACTGATTGACATGTGGATCATCAGTTCAGACCCTCACTGCATACAGGATCCCTAGGGGGTTCTATTTAATAGCTTGAGAAAGGGAGACTAAAAGGACGTCTGTGAGTGAAATAGGGTATAGCCGTTACCACAGTGCCAGGACCTGAGAGCGTTCCAATTCTTTTTGCAGCATGGGGAATCAAAGGTGGCAGACCAATTTCAACTCAGGGCTGAGGTATCCACATTGTCCACATCAGGCAAGCCCTGCACTGATGGTTGAGCCTCATGGAGAGGAGCATGTGTTGGGAAGAGATCCCTTTGTTACTGTTTTGTGTTGTTCTCTTCAATGAGTTAGAGCTCATGCCCCTTTTATGGCTTTGCTGTTGATTTTGGATGGTAGAGAATATTCCTGAGAGCCTTCCTTTTGACCCCTAGCTTATCCCACCTACTTTCTTCTCTTGGTTGAATTATCTGAAGGAAAAGTTCATGTGCTATTGTCCTGTTAGTCAATAGTCTTCACGTATAGTTGTGTTACATATATTGCTATAGACTCAGAAATCGGAGTAGAGCTTTTCCTTTGAGCAGTTTAATGAGTGAATTCAGCAGCAAAGTGGCAAGAAATGGTTCTCCAGCCAGGAGAGGTTATGTTTATCCTCCGATTGCCCATTTTCTCTGCACACAATAATATCGTATTCAGTGAGAGGTGCTGTTGGCACCCAGCAGTGCCCTGGGCACACAGCATTTCATGTCATGTCACAGTGTACAAGCTACCCTCTCTCATTTAGAAAGAAGAGCATTTTGCACAGAGAAAAAGTAAAAAGATCCATGAATGTCATTTTTTGTCTTTTATTTTCAGTTGGCTGATGTTGGAATTTTGGTTCTTGTCATGAACTTGTAAACCAATCTTGCCAAGATACAAGTTGTTTTGGTTTTTCACTACGATGACCTCTTGTTCCTCCTGTCTTGACTGCTGACGTTTCCTCAATGATTCTATTGTCTATTTTATGGGAAGCAGCCTTCCTATAGGTTTCCTTTTACACACTGCAGGGCTATCTTTATACTTTAAAAAAAAAAAAGGACAAGAACTGTCACTAACCTCATGGGGGGTTTTCGTAAAACCATTTAGCCCACCTTGAGCAAAGGGTAGATTCTGTGTTGTTTTTTTAAGCTCATTGTAATAAAATAAATCTAATTCAGCATTATTGTGCTACCTCAAAGGTAAAAAATGTTTTAAGGTCTTCTTTTGGTCCTGAGTTCTGCATACAGTGTTTGAAATGTCTTTCAATTGGAATTATTTTTTAAATCATTGGAGTGAATTTTATTTTAATCTGTTTTAAACTTGTACTTTAATCTCAGAAGAATAAGTGATTGAAACGTGATCAATTCTTGCTCTGTGGTGTTAAACATATAATGAACAGTCATTAAGAATTAAGTCACTGTTTGCCATAAACAAGGTTGATGTTCTTTTTGTTGTTGTTAAGGAAACCCTAGGGCTTGGCTTTACTCTTGATTAATAAAGGCTGACAAATCATGTCTGACTTTCTGGTGCAGTCTTATGTTATGTGTTTGCCATTTTGTTTCAGGGCTCCAGGCCATCATAGCACTCCTTTGGCAGATTCACTCTTCTGGCAGATCTGGGATTGGGGTATGAGCCCTTGAAATAGGGACCCCTTGTACTAGTCAGGGTTCTCCAGAGAAGCAGTGAGTAGGGGGTGTGTATGTGTGTGTGTATAAAGATTTTTTTTTTTTTTCAGTGACAGGATCTCACTATGTTGTCCAGGCTGGTTTCGAACTCCTGGGCTCAAGCAGTCCTCCTGTCTCAGCTTCCCAAAGTGCTGGAATTACAGGTGTGAGCCACTGCACCCAGCCTAAAGATTTATTATAAGGAATTGGCTCACACGGTTATGGAGGTGGGCAAGTCCCAAGATGTGCAAGGTGAATTGGCTAGCGAGAGCCAATGGTTTGGTTCCAGTTCCCCTCTGAAGGCCTGAGATTCAGCAGAGCCAATGTTGTTCTTGTCCAAAACCCAGCAGGCTCAAGACCCAGGAAGAACCAGTGCTTCAGTTAAGAGTCCAAAGGCAGGAAAAAAGACAATGTCCCAGTTCAAAAGTGGGCAGGAAAGAGAATTCTTTCTTACTTGGGGAAGAGTTGGCCTTTTTGTTCTATTCACGCCTTCGACTGATTGGATGAGGCCCACACATATTAGGGAAGGTCATCTGCTTTACTTCTATACCAAATTAAATGTTAGTCTTATCCAGGCCGGGCACGATGCTTCAGGCTTGTAATCTCAGTACTTTGGGAGGTGGAGGCAGACAGATCACCGAGATCAGGAGTTTGAGACCAGCCTGGCCAACATGGTGAAACCCAGTCTCTACTAAAAGCACAAATATTAGCCGTGCATGGTGGCACATGCCTATAATCCCAGCTACTTGGGAGGCTGAAGTAGGAGGGTCACTTGAACCCATGAGGTGGAGGTTGCAGTGAGCTGAGATTGCATCATTGTACTCACTCCAGCATGGGCGACAAGAGTGAAACTCTGTCTCAAGAAAAAAAAAAAAAACCTTATCCAAAAACACCCTCACAGAAACATCTGGAATAATGTTAGATCAAATACCCGGGCACACTATGGCCCAGTCAAGTTAACACATAAAATTAGTGATCACAGCATGGTATTTCAGTTGTTGTGGATGATGTGCAAGGGTATCCTGTGTATCCCTTGCCAGGAAGACAAACTCACCAATGAAACCCAGGAGAGCTGGGTATGGTGGCTCACATCTGTAATCCAAGTGCTTTGGGAGGCTAAGGCAGGAGGATCATTGAAGTTTGAAACCAGCCTGGGCAACATAGTAAGACCTTGTCTCTACAAAAAATAAAAAATAGCCAGGTACAGTGTCTGAAAAAAAAAAAAAGAAAAAGGCTGGGCATGGTTGCTCATGCCTGTAATCCCAGTACTTTGGGAGGCTGAGGCAGGTGGATCGTTCGAGGTCAGGAGTTTAACACAAGCCTGGCCAACATGGTGAAACCCCGTCTCTACTAATAGTAAACTACAAATATTATCCAGGTGTGGTGGCAGACGCCTGTAATCCCAACTACTCGGGAGGCTGAGGCAGGAGAACTGCTTGAACCCAGGAGGTAGAGGTTGCAGTGAACCAAGATTGTGCCACTGCACTGCAGCCTGGGAAACAGAGTGAGATTCCATCTAAAAAAAGGTAGAGGCCGGGTGCAGTGGCTCAAGCCTGTAATCCCAGCACTTTGGGAGGCCGAGATGGGCGGATCATGAGGTCAGGAGATCGACACCATCCTGGCTAACACAGTGAAACCCCGTCTCTACTTAAAAAAAAAATACAAAAAACTAGCCAGGCAAGGTGGCGGGCGCCTGTAGTCCCAGCTACTTGGGAGGCTGAGGCAGGAGAATGGCGTAAACCCCGGAGGTGGAACTTGCAGTGAGCTGAGATCCAGCCACTGCGC